TCATGCTAGCCTAATGGGATCTACAGAAGACCTGTGGAAGCAACACTTTTCAGGAACATATCTCCCCCTAGTGGCCACTCTTTGGTACTACAGGAAAACTAAGCCTACTTCTGGAACATAAATTGTTAAGCGCCTTCAAGTTGATTCGACTCATAGTGACCCCATCTGACAGAGTAGAACTGCCCCATAGGGTTTTCTTGGCTGTAATCTTTGCAGAAGCAGATTGCCAGTTCCTTCTCCCACGAAGCCGCTGGTTGGGTTTGAACCGCCAACCTTTCAGTTAGCAGCCAAGGGCTTAACCGTTTGCACCACCACTAGGGCTATGGTTACAAAATACCACAAACTGGGTGACTTATAAAAACAGAAATTTGTTGTCTTACAGTTCTGGAGACTAGAAGTCCAAATCAACGTGGTGCTTGGCCCATGCTCTCTCTGGAGGCTTTAGGGGAAGATCCACGTATCTCTCCCAGCTCCTGGTAGCGCCAGGTGTTCCTTGGCTTGCAGCTGCAGCCTAACTCCATCCTCCCATGGCAGCTTTCCTTCCATGTGTTTCTCTGTGCCTCTTCTCCTGTTTATAAGGACACCACTCGGCATGACCTCACGTTAACTGATAATGTCTTCAAAGACCATATTTCCAAACAAGGTCACATTCACGGGTACAGGAGTTAGGACTCCAACGTATATTTTTGGGGAACATAATTTATTCCATAACAAGCTTAAAAACAAGAAGAAATTCCCCTTACTTTCTAGGTTTGGTGTAGTTTTTAAAGACCTCCCCATTCCTACCACCTCTTTCTTCTACAGAGATAACTGGTTACACCAGGGTGGTTGCTGGATCACAGTTCTGTGGGCAATGAAAAAAAACCCATTGCTATCAAGTCAATTCCAACTCAGTGGGCAATGAGGCAACCCCTAAATTAGAGGCTTGAGCACTCATACAAACTCCCACCCAGCACTCCCTACCCTTCTCCCCCCACCCCCTCTTTAGTCTCTCCACAGCGCTTACTATTATCTGACAAACTATGTTTTATTCATTTGTCTCTCTCTCTCACTGGAATGTAAGCTCCAGGAGGGCAGGGATTTTTTGTCTGTTTTGCTTTCCCAGTGTCTAGAATGATATGAATTTTTCTAAATGAATGAGTGAATATTTGCTCTTGCTACCTTTAAGGACATTTAGATTTTTCCTTCTTCCCTTCCTAAAATTCTACTCTATATTGTACTCAACAATAAATGTTTACTTTTTAAAAAATTAATAACTTATTTTTCTCATAAAGAATTTTGTTTTAAAAGTTTTTAAAACTACAGAGTTATAATGCATAACTCTGCCACCGAGAAGCCTCTAATCAAGTTGCCAAAACAAAGCAAATCCAACAGCATTCCAAGCTGCGCTGAAGGGAATGGTGAAAAACAAGGCTCCAGGAATTGACGGAATACCAACTGAGATGTTTCAACAAACACATGCAACACTAGAGGTGCTCACTCATCTATGTCAAGAAATTTGGAAGACAGCCTCCTGGCCAACCGACTGGAAGCAATCCATATTTGTGCCCATTCCAAAGAAAGGTGATCCAACACAATACAGAAATTATTGAACAATATCATTGATATCATACACAAGTAAAATTTTCCTGACGATTATTCAAAAGCGTTTGCAGCAATACATCAACAGGGAACAGCCAGAAGTTCAAGCCAGATTCAGAAGAGGAAGTAGAATGAGGGATATCATTGCTGATGTCAGATAGATGTTGGCTGAAAGCAGAGAATACCAGAAAGATGTTTATGTTTTATTGACTATGCAAAGGCATTCGATTATGTGGATCATAACAAATTATGGTAACACTGTGAAAAATGGGAATTCCAGAACACTTAATTGTGCTCATGTGGAGCCTGTACATAGAACAAGAGGCAGTTGTTCAAACAGAACAAGGGGATACTGTGTGGTTTAAAGTCAGGAAAGGTGTGTGTCAGGGTTGTATCCTTTCACCATATTTATTCAATCTGTATGCTGAGCATCCAAGAAGCTGGACTATATGAAGAAGAACGCTGCACCAGGATTGCAGGAAGAATCATTAACAACCTGTGATATGCAGATGACACAACCTTGTTTGCTGAAAGCGAAGAGGACTTGAAGCACTTACTGATAATGATCAAAGACTACAGCCTTCTATATGGATTGCACCTCAATATAAAGAAAACAAAAATCCTCAAAACTGGACCAATAAGTAACATTACAATAAATGGAGAAAAGATTGAAGTTGTCAAGGATTTCATTTTACTTGAATCCACAATCAACGCCCATGGAAGTAGCAGTCAAGAAATCAAAAGACACATTGCACTGGGCAAATCTGCTGCAAAAGACCTCTTCAAAGTGTTCATAAGCAAAGATGTGACTTTGAGGACTAAGGTGCTCCTGACCCAAGCCGTAGTATTTTCAATCGCTTCGTATGCATGCGAAAGCTGGACAATGAATAAAGAAGACCAAAGAAGAATTGATGCCTTTGAATTATGATGTTGGCAAAGAATATTGGATATGCCATGGACTGCCAGAAGAACGAATAAATTTGTCTTGGAAGAAGTACAGCCAGAATGCTCCTTAGAAGCGAGGATGGCGAGACTTCGTCTCACGTACTTTGGACATGTTATCAGAAGGAACCAGTCCCTGGAGAAGGACATTACGCTTGGTAGAGGGTGAGTGAAAAAGAGAAAGACCTTTGATGAGATGGATTGACACAGTGGCTGCAACAACAGGCTCAAGCATAACAACGATTGTGAGGATGACGCAGGACCAGGCAGTGTTTTGTTCTATTGTACATAGGATCACTATAAGTCAGAACTGGCTCGATGGCACCTAACAACAACAGGGCCATGTTCTCTCTGAAGGCTGTAGGGAAAGATCTTTTCTTTTCTCTTCAACTTCTGGTAGCCCCAGACGTTCGCTGGCTTGCAGCTGCAGTATAACTCCATACTTACATAGCCGTCTTCCCTCTGTGTGTCTCTCTCTGTCTCTTCTCATCCTTTATAAGGACACCACTCAGACTGAATTAGAACTCACCCTAATCCAGTAGGACCTTGTGTTAACTGATAACATCTTCAAAGACCCTATTTCCAAACAATGTCATGTTCACAGGTACCAAGGGTTAGGACTTTAATATATCTTTTGTGGGGACACAATTTAATCCATAACGACAAGTATGTTCAAAGAAGAAAATCATCTGTTAGCAATATAGTGAGAAGATTTATAAGTAGAAGTGAAACCCTGCCTGTTCTTTAAATCCTGAGCTCCCCTAGAACCGTCCTGGATGCTCTTCGCACAAAGGCGCCCTGGCGGTGGAATGGTTAAGCACTCAGCTGCTAACCAAAAGATTGGTGGTTGGAACCTGCCCAGTGGCTCTGTGGGAGAAAGACCTGGCGATCTTCTCCCATAAAGCTTACAGCCTAGAATACCCTGCAGAGCAATTCTACTGAATTGAAAATCAACTCAACAGCACCTAACAACAACTCTTCTCAAAATAGTTTCCCCGGGAAAATCCATCCACTTTGTGGCTTCAAATGTCAACTCCCAGCTGTTTATCTGTAGGCCACCTGCCCTCTGAGTGCTTGACCTAATGTGCCCCAAACCGAACTTTGCATCCTCCTGCCTAAATCTGCTCTTCCAGTCACTTCTACTCCAGCAAACCACCATCATCCAGTAATGTGATCAAGTCAGAAACCTAAGCCAAACCTGAACTGTCTCTTACTCCCTACATCCAACCTATTACCAAATCTTGATGACTCTGCTTACAAAATACATCTCAAATATGTTCACTTATCACAATATCCATTTCTGCTGTCAACACTCTAGCCTAGGGCTTCTCAGCCACAGAACTATTGACATTTTGGGCCAGATCATTCTTTGTGGTGAGGGGCTGTCCTGCACATTGTAGGATGTTCAGCAGATCTCTGGCCTCTATACGCTGCCAATAGCACTGTCCTCAAAAATGTTCATGCCCTAATCTTTAGAACCTATGAATATGTTAATTTACATGGTAAAAGGGAGTTTGCAGGTGTAATTAAATTAAGGGTCTTGAGATGTGGAGATTATCCTGGATTATCCAGGTGAGCCCAATGCAGTCATAAGGGTCCTTATGACTTGGAAACCCTATGGAGTTTTACTCTGTCTATAAGGTCGCCATGAGTCTGAATTAACTCGACAGCAACGGTTTTTGGTTTTTGGATTTTGGTGGCACAGATGGTTAAGTGCTCCACTGCTTAATCAAAAGGTTGGAGCTCAAACGCACTTAGTGGCTCCATGGGATAAACATCTGGCAATCTGCTCCCATAAAGATTACAGCTTAGAAAACCCTATGGGGCAGTTCTATTCTGTCACATGAGGTCACTATGAGTCAAAATCCACTGGAAGGCATCTAACAACAACCCAAACCAAACCTGTTGCCATGGAATCTGATTCCCACTCATAGCAGAAACCATAGGGCTTCCAAGGAGCAGCTGGTGGATTCGAACTGCCAACCTTTTGGTTAGCAGCCGGATTCTTAACCACTGTGCCTACAGGGCTCCTAGCGACCCTATAGCACTTAATAAAACTGGACTTGCCTTTGAAGCCTTCATTTAGCTGAGGGGTGAGATGTATTTTTAGAAATGGACGTGAAAAGTAAAAAACACTCTCCGATTCCGACGTGAGAAACCTCCTCCAGGTCCTTCTCCTCTCCCGAAGCCACTGCTTTAGTACTTTCCCACTCTTCAGTTCCCACAATCTTGCAATTCAGAGTCGGCTCAGCCCCAGTCTTAGACCCAGAACAGAGCGAGCCGCCGTGCGGGCTGCCTGACGCCAGGGGGCGCGCCGAGCGCTGCAGCGCGAGGCCGCTCTGGCCCAGTCGGGGCTCCGCAGGTCGCGGTGGCCCGCTCCTCCCTTCCGCCTGCCGCGGTCGCCACTGGGAAGATTCCGTTCCTGCAGCTGCTGCCGCCGCTTCTTGGGCGAGTTGAAGGTACCTGGGCTGAGGCCCGCGGGCGGCCCCCGGGCAGAAGCCACTGACATCTCCGCTGCTGGCCCTGAAGGACCGGAAAGCCCTGGCCCGGGGCCTGAGGGGCGACGGCATTAGGGTTCCCTGCACCATCCGGGCGGTGCCCGAAGTGGCCTTCTCGCGGGGCTGTGCTGCTCGTAGATCCGGGAAAGGCCTGCACGGGTTTTTGCTTGCGTTTGAGGGTAAAAACTGTGGTTGTTCGTAGAGGGTGCCAGCCTGGATTTGCCGGCCGCGCCGGGGAGACCTGGGTCGGGTCGGGCGCCCTCACGGTTAATCGTGAGGTCAAGGAGAAGCTCCTTACTGGATGTCTCCTTGTTAGGCCCCGTGAACTGTGTGCTGTGGCAGGTTTAGCTCCGACAGTACAGGGCAGATTATAAGGAACCGCAGTCAAGGCGTAAACAAGCAGCTGAGATGTGAGTGAACTGTCCAGAATGATCCGTGTTAGAAGAATTTTTACACCTTTCAGGTGGGGCTCGGATCAGCCCACACTTGCACTCATAATTAACAGACAGTGCTAAGAAGCAGACTGTTTTGTCTTCATATATTCCAGCACAGTGCTCTCCTCTGTCCTGTAGAGTCGCTATAAGTCGGCACACGCAGCAACAAATAGCTGTCGTCAGAAAACCAAACCCGTTGCCGTCGAGTCGATTCCGGCTCCTGGCAACCCTATAGTACAGAGTAGAACTGCCCCACAGAGTTTCCAAGGAGCACCTGGTGGATTCAAACTGCCAACTTTTTTGTTAGCAGCCGAGCTCTTAACCACTGCCACCAGGGCTCCAGGCCCCTCCCTGCTAGAATAAAATTTGAAATAGAGATGAGTTTATTTGGTTGTTAATGAGCTTCAATACTTTTCTTCATTTGTATTTCGGTACCGTTTTTACTGACTTCACTTTGCCTTTGTAATATTATGACAGCATTGCTGAAGGGAAATGAAAGATTTTTTGATGACAGTAAGTTAATATTTTACAGAATGTAAAAAAGGCATTGGAGAGAGACTGTGAAGTACTGAGGAATGAAGAGATCTTTGATATGTTGTTTAGAGCACATTTAGTTACTATGGAACATATTGAAGAATTTTCAGTTCCTATCACTGTCAGAACAGAAGTAGTATTTCCTATTGTAGAAAGATGTTAGGTTAGCCAGTGTTCAGAATCTCTTCGCCTCATCAGGATTTAAGGCTGCATATTCTGCATTCATATACTAGATGTATATATTGAGCGCCTTCTGTGGTCAGGCACTGTTCTAAGCACTAGGAATATAAGAGTGAACAAAACAAAATTCTTGTTCTCCTGGAAATAACATTCCACTGGAGGAGAGTGGGGGTGGGGACAGTAAACAAAGTAATTCTTTGAAAGTAAGTTAAAGTAAAATATAGTTGGTCATGTGGTAACAATCGCTAAGAAGAAAAATAAAGCAGGGAAGGAAGAGAGAGCAGTAGAGAAGAAGTGGATGCAGTTTTAAAATAAGGAAAGTTGTCATGGAAAAGACTCTTGAGCAAACCCTGAAGGAGTGTAGGACAGCCAGGCAGCCAAATAGGGGAAGAGCATACCAGGCAGAGAGAAAGGCAAGTGCAGAAGCTGAGGTAGAAGCCCATCAGTCTTGTTGGAGGACCAGCAGGGAGGCCAGTGAGTCTGAGCAGAGTGAGGGAAGGAGGAATGAGGTCAAAGAGGTAATGGGTCCTGGCCAAGACTTTGGCTTTTACTCTGAATCAGGAGAGAGGTCGTTAGAGAGTTTTGAGCAGAGGAGTGATGTGATCCAACTTAACGTTCTTAAAGGATTATTCTGGCTGTTGTGTTGAGAATTGACTGTAGGGGACAAGGGTGGAAGCAGGGAGGCCAATAGGAGGTTGGTGCAGCAATCCAAGTGAGAGCTGTTGGTGACTTTGACCAGGTAGTAACAATAGATGTAGTAAGAAGCAGTCATATTCTAGGTACATTTTGATGGAGTTGCCGTTTACTGATACAGGGAAGACTGAGGGTGGAGAGAGATAGGGAGAGAGGTGGAGCAGGAATCAAGAGTTGGATTTTAAACATGTTACCTTGAGGTGCCTGTTCAAGTGAGGTTATGGGAGGCTGGAGTTCAAAGGCTCGGACTGGAAATAGAAGTTTGGAGTCATTGGCAAATAGATCATACTTTAAAGTCATGAGACTGGATGAGATCTAGCTGAGAAATGAAGATGGAACCCTGGGGCTTTGCATGTTCAGAGATTAGGGAGATTAAGAAGTTCCACCCAAGGAGACTAAGGGGAAGAAGCCTTTTTGAAGGTAAAAGGAAAAAGATGAGTGTGGAGTGCTGCAAGCCCAGTGAAGAGAGTTTCAAGGAGGAAGTGATCACAACTGTTTCACCTGCTAACTTGACAAGTAAGATGAGGGCTGTGAAATGACCATGGATTTAGCAACCCAGAGGTCATACTGGTAACGTTGCAAGAGCTCTTTCAGGAGAGTAAAAACTCGTTGCCTTCGAGGCAGCCCCCGACTCACAGTGACCCTATGTGTTATAGAGTAGAACTGCTTCACAGGGTGTTCTTAGCTATAATCTTTATGGAAGCAGATCGCCAGGCCTTTCTTGCGTGGTGCCACTGGGTTGGTTTGAACCTCCAACTTTTAGGTTAGTAGTCCAGTGCAGATCTTGTGCACCACCCAGGAACTTTTTCAGGAGAGCAGTGGGGGAGAAAACCTGATTAATGTGGTTTCAAGAGAAAATAGGAGGAGAGGAATTAGAGACTGCAAGTATGGACAACGCTTTAGAGAATGGTAGCTGTAAATTTATTTCTACCTTCAGCTATTTAGCAACTGGACTTGGATTCTTTTATCAGATCAGTGGCTGGTAGAAATCATTAACTCTCAAAACCAATATACATTATTGCTTATCCGTTTTTACATAATACATTTCAGGACCCATACAAATGCCTGGGTGGAGCACGTTCTTTTGTCACATCTTTGTTCTTTACCCTGGGTTAAAAAATTAACTTAGAAATGTTATAAGCTGTGCATTTGAAAACAACGCACGTACACATCATGCACAAATTGAGACGAGGATTTAAGTTTGCCATCTCAGTAAAACTGAAGATTTCATTGGGCATCTCGAGAAGGCAAAGTGTTATAATGAAATGTGAAAAGACCTGGAGTTAGAAAACCAAAAGGGAAGATCACAGGATTTCTCAAGCTGAAGGAACTAGAGAAAAAATTCAAGCCTCAAGTTGCAACACTGAAGGATTCTATGGGCAAGATATTGAACAATGCAGGAAACATCAAAAAAAAAGACAGAAGGAATACACAGAGTTACTGTACCAAAAAGAATTGGTCTGTGTTCAGCCATTTCAGGAGATAGCATATGATCAAGAATTGATGGTTTTGAAGGAAGAAGTCCTTGCCGCACTGAAGGCATTGGTGAAAAACAAGCCTCCAGGAATTGATGGAATACCCATTGAGATGTTTTAGCAAATGGATGCAGTGCTGGAAGTGCTCACTCATCTATGCCAAGAAATATGGAAGACAGCTGGCTGGCCAACTGACTGGAAGAGATCCATGTACATGTCCATTCCGAAGAAAGGTGATCCAACTGAATGCTGAAATTATTGAACAGTATCATTAATATCACACTCAAGTAAAATGTTGCAGAATATAATTAAAAAATGGTTGCAGCAGTACATTGACAGGTAACTGCCAGAAATTCAAGCTGGATTCAGAAGAGGACAGCATGGAAGAGGGATGTCATTGCTAATGTCAGATGGATCTTGGCTGAAAGCAGAGAATACCAGAAAGATATTTACCTGTGTTTTATTGACTATACAAAGGCATTTGACTGTGTGGATCATAGCAAATTATGGATAACATTGTGAAGAATAGGAATTCAATAACACTTAAAGAGGCAGTCGTTCAGACAGAGCAAGGGGATACTGCATGGTTTAAAAACAGGAAAGGTGTGTGTCAGGGTTGTAGCCTTTCACCATAGTTATTCAGTCTCTATGCTGAGCAGATAATCCAAGAAGTTGGACTGTATGAAGAAGAGTGGGGCATCAGGATTGGAGGAAGACTCATTAACAACCTGTGATATGCAGGCTGACACAGCCTTGCTTGCTGAAAGTGAAGAGGACTTGAAGCACTTACTGATGAAGATCAAAGACTACAGTCTTCAGTATGGATTACACCTCAACATAAAACAAAAATCCTCACAACTGGATCAATAAGTAACGTGATAAATGGAGAAAAGGTTGACATTAAGGATTTCATTTAACTTGGATCCACAATCAGTGCCCATGGATGCAGCAGTCAAGAAATCAAATGGACGTATTGCATTGGGCAAATCTGCTGGAAAATACCTCTTTAAAGTGTTCAAAAGCAAAGATGTGACTTTGCGGACTACGGTGCGGTGCGGCTGACCCAAGCGATGGCATTTTCAGTTGCCTCATATGCATGAGAAAGCTGAACAATGAATAAGGAGGACTGAAGAATTGATGCATTTGAATTACAGTGTTGGCGAAGAATATTGAATATACCATGGACTGCCAGAATAACAAACCAATCTATCGTGGAAGAAGTACCACCAGAGTGTTCCTTAGAAGCGAGGATGGCAAGACTTTGTCTCGTGTACTTTGGACATGTTATCAGGAGGGACCAGTCCCTAAAGGAAGGACATCATGCTTGGTTAAGTAGAGGGTCAGCAAAAAAGAGGAAGACCTTCAACGAGATGGATTCACACAGTAGCTGCAACAATCGACTCAAGCATAACAATGATTGTGAGGATGGCACAGGACCAGACAGTGTTTCATTCTGTTGTGCACAGGGTCGCTATGAGTCAGAACTAACTTGACAGCACCTAACAGCAACAACATCTCAGTAGTAGTAAGAACTGACAATTATGGTATACGTCATTTTTATTAGAAGAATTAATTCATAAGGAACAAAATAAAATTATTACTTGTCTATTGTTACTTATAAAATCTTAAAATTAATAAGTCATTGCAAGTAACATATAGGTTAAATAAGGCAGTATGGTATTGTAAGATAGTAAATGTACAAAAGAGAGTGCAGTTTTTATCTGAAGACATGAGTTTTGGTTCTTGTTTCTGCCCTCAGCAAACTAATGCCCAAATCTACAAAATTATCAAGGTATATATATCAGATTTACACAATCTTGACTATGGATATTAGCTCTTTATGTAGTCCTGTCGTGTACATTT